AAAACATCGGAGACAAAGTTTCCATCAATCAACTTATCCCAGATGTTGATGCCCTGAACAGTGTCACCAGTGGTTTGACAAACTATATCAACATGTGAACCAATAGGAACAGTACGAACTTTTTTAGCACTCAAAGAAGGTGCTGTGCGGACAGTAAGGTTTGCTGTGACAGGAAACGCTTTTGCATTGCTGACCATTGTCAAGGTGATTAAGCGAGTATAATTATCTTGATGAGAATAGTTATGATTTAAATAGAAATGCAGTAGACAATAGCGTTCGTTGGAACAATAATATTTTTGGAGAAGATATTAATTCTACGGGCAAATAAATATATCGAGGACTGTCATTGTTACTTAGTTTAAATTTTGTACTATGATACTTGTACAAAAATCATAAAAATCACATGTCCGTGAAAATTGATTGGCAAATGATTGCTAAATATAAATCGGAACAAGGATTTTGCAAAACGTGTGATTGATTTTAAAAGATACCGGCTGCAACTTTTGATGATGTTTCCAATCACCTTTGCATCGTATAAAAATGATCATGACACCTGGTTGCGACCATTTTGTCCCCTTTTTTGGGTTGCGACATGGAATACTATTTTATTTGTTGAAATTTATGCTATAACCTGTTTATAGAGTTGTTTTACATGGAATTTGTTTTCTTAATAAATTATAGTTCCAAGCCGAGATACTTTAAGAAAATGCCTAGAGAACCATCAGAACCAAGTCTGTTTCGTAGAATTAGATGATATAACAGGAATAATCTACATATATATACATAAATGATGATGATCTTAAGTTATATATAAATTTAAAATTTAAACAAAACAAAAAAATAAAATTCACCATTTTGAAATACAAGAGCATCTAAGACGACTGTTTCAACTTCCTTTGCTTTAATAATATTATTAAAGATTTTTTATTAATTAATTCATGTATTCTAAGAACATACCAAACCCGCAATACAATAAATAATCATACCTGCCTACTACTTAGCCATGATTCCTTCATCATCATCATTTTTTTTTTAAAAATTCTGGTACAACAAAAAATTGCATCGCTCGTGTTTTCTAAGAACAAAAACCATGCAGAAAAATTTAAACACGCTCAACATAAAAAAGGTCATTCTATTATTCCCGTCAATAGGGAAGTAAATTTCAGTGTTTAAAAAATTTTTTAATTGTATAATTCTGATATTTTATCATTTGGTGTCAGAATTAATAAAATTGTCCGCTGATACCACCGCGAGGCTCCTGGCCAGCAAGAATGAAAATCTTGAAAACCAGGTCTCAAACGACTCGAAGTATACATGTCGGTCAGCATCCGCTTTAACCACCATGTATTTAAACACTCCTGTGGCCAAGATTTCGGTCGAGCCCTTCTCTTTGATTGACGAATACTTACCTAATCAAAGAGGCTCGGATGAAAGGCAAACAGGCCCAGAGTCCCCGTCATACCCCGTGCATCTTCCTTTCACATACTCTACGGGACACTTGGTCTCCAGGACTTTGTGATTTCAAGTTAATCTTTTTACTCAGCAGGACAACAGAATCAGTAATATTTGATACCATTCGGTATGCTTTTTTGATATTTGTTGTAATTATTGTTGAGTTGAATACCGTTGAACAAGTGTTGTTTGAGCTGAAGAAGGAGGGAGGTTGACCAGCATGCATTGTTGTGTTGGTTGAGCTGGTTGTTGTAATCGTTTGAGTTGGATATATTTATGCCCATAATTTAATGGGTCATAAAAAAAAAAATGTTTTCCTTTTTTTTTTAAAAAAAAAAATGAAAAAAAAATGAATAATAACTGTATATACAGTATATATATACGATGAAAATAATTTATTTCTTTTTTAGGATGGAACGTAAACAAACAATATTTAATATTATTAATATTATTTACATAATTTTTTTTTTCCTTAATGATTGCTTCCCATAAATGGTTTTTAATATGATGACTCTTTTACATAAACACGGGTTGAAATTCCTTTTTGATTGGCCAATTTAATTTTTCACGTATAAATTTTAATTTTCACACACAAAATCGTCACTATGCTATTAGCGACGACATGGATTAGGCGTTACTGTGTTTCGCATATCCTAAAAGAGCACATATAGTCATCATTACAGCCTTCCCAATTGACCTACGTCACACATAATAGTTTTAATATAGAACAAACAGCCTGAATAAAAGACTTTGTAGATTTCTTAAAATTGGAACACGTACTAGTGATAATGTAGTAGGCATTGTACACCACAATAATTATAAAAAGAAATCTTTTTATAGCGAACTTATTATAAATAAATTGAAAAGTCCCTTACAACGAGATGAATTTTTTAACAAATTATGCACAATATATATATATAACAAAGAAAATAAAATTGTCTGAATTTTTTGATTTTAAACTATCAATTGTTTTTAATTCTTGGTAACTAATTGTAAAATTATCTGTCTAAACTATCTGATAATTATATACTGTTTCCACTTCTTCTACTTCATCAGAATTGTCAACCTCAGGATTTGGCTCCACTGCTCTAACGATTTCTTCGTCAGTTAGTTCTTGTACTGATACTTCATCATCAATCTAAATAAAACGTTCTGCAACGATTTGATCTTGCAAATAAACTTGTAAATCAACAAGGTTATTTTGACACCATTAAAAAAGAGGATAATCTGTAAATTAATTTATTGTAAAAAGGATACTTTTTCCGAGTGCCAGAGCAATATATATATTGAGATTAAGATTAGAAAATGAATTGGCTTTATCAAATAAATTGGGTAGATTATCACTATGTTAGGTAAGAGTACTTTTAAATTTGATCGTTTTTACCATATTATTCATGCTAAGGAAATTGTTTGCATTTTGTGGTAAAACTAAGTTTAATAGATGCTGGGTGAAGATTACTTAAATCATCATGTAAAGGGTGCTGTATGCAAAGACGAAGAACAATTTTCAACTTTACAAAACTGCTCGAATTGAAAATACGAAGCTCAGAAGAAGAATTTGATTCTGATGTATATATAATAATATGAATGATGATGACTCATTCCGAGTAGATGAAATAAACGACAATAATGATGTTATTTTAATTTCACCTTTTATTATAGATAACAATAAAACAAATACATGTCAATATTCAAAAAACGTCAATTGTGCAATATGGCAACAAATGAACTGATTGAAACTATTAACAAGATTTTACCAGGGAGCGCGCAGTGAGCTTTTATTGATTAATTGCTTTTGCTACTTTTTAATTTGACCAAGATCTCTCTGATTCATGCTTTTCAATCTTGTGTATTCTCAAATCATGTATTGATCAATTTTATACAAGAAAAGTTGAAATCCAAGATCTCAAGCAAATCCCAAGAAGGCACACTGCTCATAGCTACGTATACTTGACCAGGCGCAAACATATTTTCATCAATGTTGACAGTTTTGTGAGGTAATGTCAATCCTTGAGTTTTGTGCACGATAAGAGCGAAGGCATTATGCAGAGGAAATTGTTGCCTTGATACGGGGCTTCCATTGATATCAAAGTAAGTGGTTTCTTTTTGCACAGTCACCTTTGTGGTATTGCGGGTTTTCAGAAAGGTCACTTCAACGTTTTGAGGATCAGTAATTTTGATTATCATGACCCATTGCAAATTCCATGACCAAACAACTTGTTGTTGAGGAACATCACTTTTGCATCTTGAAGGATGACGTGCTTGTGAAGGTTTATATAGCGGTTGAAGTGAAAATCTTCACTTTGATTCTGATTGAGTAATTTTTTACAAATCAGTTAGTTAAATTTTTCTAATAAGATAAATGCAAGTATGGCGTTTATTATTATTTAATTTAGAGAGAGTTAGTTCACTTTGTTACTTATTATTTTGGGTAACCACATGAAATTATGTTTAATTTTTTGGCATAAAAGTTAGAACTTTTAATTTAGATTATTAATTGATTATTATCATAAATAATAAGAGCAAAAAAAACTTTAGTCACGATTGATTAGTTCAAAAAACGTTAATTCAAATTCCGGGTTAGTAAAAATGCGCCCTTTAATTTTTATTATTATTATTATATGAATATATAATTTATCGCCAATTTTTGCTTTGGCAATATGTAGCTCTTTTATTGTGTATGTTATCTATTTATTATTTTCATTAATTATTTATATGCATCCATTGAGAAAGGTGAAGAAGCTTTTCACTTTTTAGCTGTTTATTTTTCAAATGAGATTAAATTTATCAAATTTGTCTCTTTGTATGTATGTATATGTGATTTTTTTATTATTCGCGTAACGATTTTTCTAATCATTAAATAATAACGGTTAAACTTGAAATATTTCTATATTGGTGTTACGAAAAAATGTGGGGACGGCTATCCTATTTATATGTTTGGATTTAATAAATAAAAATAAAAAAGCAAGGGGCTTATTTACATTACATTGCATTCTCAGTTATTAAAACGTCAAAATATTCATTACACGATTCAATGTCAGTTTTTTTATTCGAAATTTATGGCAACTACATATATAGTAATAGTAATAGTAATAATAATAGCCCTGTTAAAATGAACCTTTTGTAAAACACAAAGTCAAAGATGAAATTGATAAATACGGTTTCCAAATGGAACTTTGCATGCTCCTAAAATCGGAATGGCCATCTGTTATTCATGTAATCAACGCTGGACAAATGATTAAAAATATAACCACATTGGAATGGTGAGACATTGGCAATTATCATGCGCTAGAAATAAATATTGTGCTGTTAGCTTTGAATATGCTATGAAAGCACGATCCATGCATTACATCGATATGGATTGTGGATGTCTAACGTTATCAGAAAAATCTAGCATGCTTGACGTGTTGGAAAAAAAAAATTCAAGCATGCACAAAGAAAATTTATTGAATACTATTATTGTCCTTCTGGACTTTGTGCTACAGAATTAGCTAAGCATTACAAACTCTTATGGAGAGTCCAAGAGGAGATGTGTCAAACAAAGTTAATTTATAAATAATATTTTTTTTTGAATTCAAACTATAACAGCGCCAGGAAGCAGAGCCTCGAGTTTCCAACTCGTGTACTGGCTCATGCCAAAAATGAATTATGTTTTAGCTATAAATACTAAACCATAATCTACCTAAACAAAACCGGGAAACCCCTATTGAATGTCACCGCTAACACTCACTACTATTCAATATTACTTTAATGTTTAAAAATGTCACGCTCATTTTATATTCACATTAAAAAAAGTTTACACAGTTACACTAAATTCTCATCAGTCACGCTGATTCGTGAACATAGGCCACGAAAAAAGGTTACCGATTACACTATAATTCGCGGTATACTATTATTTTTATGCTACTCTTATTGAATATAATTGATTTTTTAAAACTTCTTTACAATCATTGTCAAAAATTATTTATTTCATTTGTTAATTTTCACTTTATTAGTGCTAAACAACCATCTCACTTGGAAACGATTATCAAGTTGCAAAATTTAAAAAATCAGAGGTTACCACCAATAGTAAATACTATTACCAATGACAGCGATGGTAGTGATAGTAATAGCAGTATGCTGTGACTTAAAATATATTAATCATGTCATAAATAGCCCAGCAAGTTTTGGTGGGGTAAAAAACCTAAAGATGTTGCATTTTCCTCAAAAATTTACTGAAAACGAAATTTTTTCTTAATAAATAGAATTTAAAAGAGCATTAGAGGCTGAAGCAACTTGGAATTTGGAAAATTTAGCAGTTTACTGTATCCAATATAAAAAAACCATATAATGAACATGCTATATGTAATAAGTGTGAAAAACTAAAAGGTAACTTTGTAAAATTATTCATTTGGATTTATTAATTTTGAAACTAAATGGTTTAACTAATAAATTTTTATTAATAAAGGGATGGGCAGTAAATAATACTGCTAGATATCTTATTATTGTAAAAAACCATTATCTGAGTGGTATGTATAATGATCAATCGCAGTTATTGTTTTGATTGTATGAATCAGATGAATAAAGTATTTTTATTAGATTTTATGGTCAACAGTTTGGTTTTTGAGTTGAAACTTGGAAATTTTTATTTTTATTCTCAAAAAAAGTTATTCATGAATTCAGGTGCTTGTCTGATTTTATCTAAAATACACCCTTATCCAAAGTTTAGATTGATGTCACAATTTCTGTAAAATTATAATTTAAGATTTATCTGTCTCATTAAACATTTAAAACAATTAACCTCAAAATATAATCAATAATAATTAATAAAATGATAATAATTAATGAAATAATTCAAGCTGTTCTTCACCAACAAATAGTACAGTGTTATTGTATTGTTTATCTGCTTGATGAAATTTTGTATGTCACAGGCCATATTGATTCGCATCATTAATAAATTGTTAAATGTTGTTGCTGTCAAATTGATTCACACAATTATAAAAAAGCAAGATTCGAATATATATGTTTGGCCATTTGATTTGGTAGCGATATACAATAGGGTTTTCCTGGTCCTATTTGTACATTTAGGATGTATGGTGCAAGACGTCTATAACAGTTAACGTTTATCACATGACTTTAAAAGCTTATTTTAAAAGGCTTCAAAGCTAGGACATTTTATATGTATATGTCTATATTAATATGTAAAATTGTAAAAATTTCGGAATAATATTCCCTCGTGTTTCCCAATAAAAAAGGAACATGAATGTTAATACTAGTATTGATAATAATGTTAATAGATATCAATATTAATATTAATAGCATATTGATAATAATATCAATAGGATGTCAATACTAATATATACTAATAATGTTCATATTAATAAAATTTATTATTAAACGTTATATAATTAGACAATCAAATAATATAATTCATTCTATCATGAGATCCTTCAGAACAAAGGCTTGTACATTTATGTATGAAATGTATCTTTGGTTGTCTATCCACAATTGTTAAAGGATGCAAGTGATTCCATGTATGATCATTGTTTTCCTGAAGAATATATATTAATATTGGAAAACCTGTTACAGAATCAACATTTCCGCTTTTGTAATACCAATCAATTAATTAAAAGGGATTAATATGTATAAGATCATCTTGATGTGCACTAATTTCATATGATTGTCTATACCAACTTGTAATGTAATAAATAATATAAATATCAGCTTCATGCTTTACAGTAAATTGAATAGAATCATAATAGTTAATATGCCATTGTGTTATAGCACCTGACTCTTGGTATATATCCCTATAAATTTTTGTAAAAATCAATTAACAGATTCTCTATAGAGATAATAGTGATAAGCCTTCTTTTTTAATTTTAGATGGGTTCCATTTTCCTCAAACTTGAATATTTTGAAAATCAGGATGAATAGAATAGATTTCTAAATTTAAATAAATTGCTATATTATTATTATGCCCATAACCCATTTATATTCCTACCCAGTTATGTTTCATCAAGGAGTTGATGTGCTAAACCTGCTAAACAATGGATAAGAGTCTTGAGGTGTTTGTATGAATAAGATGATCAAGAATATTTTTTTGAAGATGCAGACTTTGTAGATGCTTTTTTAATTTCTTGAAATTTTAAATTTGTAATATAACAATACCTACCATTTGCTTGAATATCAAAATGAAGATACTAAAATTTTTCTGAGTTACTTCACATGAACAACGACCATGTTCTGCATTATGCTGTTGAACTCCTGCTATATCATTATTGCCTTGTGGCAAATCTGCAGTACACATACCTAAACCTCCAGAAACAAACACCTTTTCATTATTCTATTTATGGTATAAATGGTTTAATGAATTCTGCAAATTTTCACACCAAATGGAACAAAACCAATAAAAAAATGTTTTTTAGGGCATTGTCACATTAAAAGTACCATATTTCCAAATTGTAAATAAAGCCCACCAAGCTTGTGATATGCTTTACCAAATGCACATAATATAAGTCAATAAAAATTTTTAAATGATGGAAGCCAGATGGAGAAAATAACTAATGGACTGACATAGTAATCGATGTTGTTGATGTATTTGCCTTATTTTTGGTCAATTACAATGTGTATATAAAAATTTCTTTAATTTGATAAACATAATTTATAGGTTTTTGTGAATCTTTAAGCCAGACACCAATATGTTGAATTACATCATCTATACAAATAGTTGTTTGTTCTTTGGTCAACCAAACAGCATGATTCTTTGATTGGTTTAAACAATCAAGAGATCTTAAATTGCCTGGAAGATCTATACAATATATAATCTAACAATTTTTTTTTTTCATTAACATGATAAAGTACAAAATCTCCAGCTTGATAAAGCACTAAAAAATAAATGATAACACATGCAATTATCTTTAAAATGCAGAAATATAAAGCATGCCATTTCCAATTTTTCCCCAAATATTGGAGATCCTTTCCATACTTGTCCATGCCATAATTCTAATTTTTCTTCAATTTCAATACCAGGACCAAAATATAACTTTGGATATTATTAAGAATATGTTGAATATGATCAAGAAAGGAAAATGTAAAACATTCTTTAAAAAGTTTAGAGGTAGAAGGAGTATATGTTAGATTAATTTTAACTTTATGACTGCCAAGTGTCATTAATGGCAAGCTACATTGCATTTGTTTTAGTGTTGTAATGTTAAGTGGGAGTTCATGTGCATGAAAATCTGGATGTTGTAAGATTTTGATATGCATGTGATCATATGGTTTTATTAAATATATTAACAAAAAGTAATATAAATAATAATAACTATATATTATTATCTATCATATGTTTTGTATACTGTGAGATCAAAATTCCGCGTCTCACACAAATCTCTTGATTTCGTTAAAATAGTATTTTTTTCGTTCATAAGG